CTCTCAGCCTCCAAAAACTCGCTGGGTGTCACTGTTTACCTCCGGGGTTCTAGGCTCTGGGTCAGACAGGTCTGGCTTTGAACACTGGAGTGTCCACTGACCACCTGTGTGGCCTGAGCAAGTTACTTAATCTTTTTGAGCTGTAGGTCCCTGGTGTGAAGGAGAGATGGCAAGTCCAGCCTCACAGAGGTGTGAAGAGGATCAAATGAAATCAAGAGAGCCTGGCAATCCCTAGGCACTCCGGCGATGGCAAGCCCCTTCCCATCCCTCTCTCTGACTTCCTCTTTCTTTTCCTGAAAAAGGAAGCGTGCTGGAACAGAAGGCACAAGAAGGTCACAGGACCTGGGTTCTCTGGGCCTCAGTCTCCTCTGTAAAACAAGGCCATTGGATTATTGGCGAACCTGTTAATTCACCCGTCCACTCCATTTCCACCGAGGACAGTCTATGTTTAACTCATCTGTGCCTCATTGTGCCTCATACTCCAGTATCCCCTGCTAGTACCTAGCATAGTGCCTGGCCCAGAGGGGGCACTGGAAAAACCCCTCAACAACCTACTAAGGGGATGTTTACTGCACCCCCTCCCCGCCCCAAGAGAGCACTCAGCTCTGGCTGGCACCAGAAACCTTGCCCCTCACCCCAGCACGAAACCAGAGCTGGCGCCACCGGGTGAGGAATCTGGGGACCAACTGTCACAGCTCCGGTATCACCGCCTCCAGGACGCCTGGGTCTGGCGCTGAGTCCCAGAGGGGCCCTGTCAGCCAGCTGTCCTGGGGGACCCCAGTTCTGCCCCAACCCCTCTGAGCTGCTCTCCCAGGGGAAATCAGAGAGTGCAGAAGACCTAGAAGGGGGGTGCTGGGGTGGTGGTCCCAGGAGCGGAGGTGTTTCTCTGTCCGGGTCCAAACCTCAGGCTGGGCTTCCAAGCCCTTGGAGATCGGGCCCAGAACAACAGAAGGACCCACAGCGACCTCCTCTCTCCTCTAAACTCTGTGTCCCTCCAAGTCCCAAAGACTGTCTTGCCCTCACATTTACTCCTATTTGTCCATGTTCCTGGGTCATGCGGACTAGTTTCTGTGTCCTGCTGAGGGCAGAGATCAAGTCTGGTGTTTCTTTTGAGCGACCTGCAAAGTTCTCCCCAGTACGTTCGTGCTCATTGATTGAAATTAATGAGCTGAGGGTGTTCCAGCAACAGACAGAAAACTGGCTGGTGTTTACATAACAAGGGGGACTTCCCCTGAGGGAGGGGTATTTTTAAAAAAGAAAATAGAAGTCCCATAAAGCATAGGAGAAGAGACCCACCTGACTAGGACAGATGGAGAAGGCATTCTGAGAAGAGCAGGGAGATGGGTCCGATAACCTCTATAAGGGCCGGCCAGCCAGCTAGGGCAGCCTGGGGGGTGTCCTCCTCCCTCCCTAGGGGCAGGGAGGGGCAGGTATTAGGTGTATCCCCCTTCCCTTGGGACTTGGTGTGTAGACAGTGATAACAGGTGCCCAGGTTTGCTCAGAAAAGAAAGATACACAGATCTACACACACACAAATCCCCTCCCCGCCCCATTCTTGTCCTCCAGCCTCCACATGAACCTTGGGCCACCCATCTCAACTGGGTCACCTTTCCTGTCCTGCAGCCAGGCCTGTCTACACACGTATACACACACGCGAGCATACACACACACACACACACACACACACACACACACACACACTTGCACATGAACACACACTACACATACAGCCAACTCCACAGCTCCACAGGGCCCTTTGTTCCTCAGGCCTAAGGCCAGGAGCCTGGTGTGTGTGTGTGTGTGTGTGTGTGTTAGAGACAGAGTTTGCCTGCATTCCAGTGCTCAACAGGAATTATTTTTGGAATTATCTGCTCTTTGTTTGGGATGGTCTTATTTCTGCAAGTCTAGATCTAGAACTGACTTCAAGTGATTCACAGTGGGTCAGGATCTCCAGTGCCTGGCACATCCTAAGAGTTCAATAAATGAATTCATTTTAAGAGCTGAATAAATGAATTAAATTTAATTAACAAAGACCTAAGTCTGGCCAAAGTCAACGGCAAGGGGAGAACAGGCAGGGCCAGGAAAGTAACACTGATTGAGCACCTAAGAGGAGCCAGGCACGGTGCCAGGAGTTTGGCTTATTATTTCCATCTTAGAGATGAGAAAATTGAGGCTCAGCAGCAAAGAAATGCCCAAGGGGCAGAACTAAGAGGCAGTAGTTTGGCTTCAGAGGCCTGCTCCTTCCCCTTACACCATGAAGCTTCAAAGATGCCGTTATACTCAACACACTCCTGCTTCTGTTTTAGGCAGGGCCCTGTGCTGGCTGGGCACTGGGGGGCCAAGGTGGGCGGCAATGACAAAGATGAGAGATACAGTCCTATTCTCGAAGGTCCTGAAGGGGAGAGAGATGCCATCTACACACTTTTCTGGTCATAAGGCAGAGAGTGAGTGGCAGGGTGGGGTGGGCAAAGCCATCTATTGCTAAGTTTGGGGCCCTTATTGTCATAATTCTAGGTTGGCCTTGGAGAGAAACCTAGCTTGGCCGACATGAGGGTCAGTGGAGGAGGGGAGTTCCCTGAACCAAGGAGGCCACCAGCCTCTGAAAGCAAGGGAAGGGCTCATCGAAACGCCACCCTGGAACTTGGCTCCTCAAGGTGCCCATCCTTAGGCTCCTCTGCTTCATGGACACTCGGGTGGCGGGTCCCCAGTGTGGATGGACATGCCCCAGGCCATCTGCCCCCGTGTGTACACCCGTGCCATAGACCCAAGTGCACTCACACCTGTTCTGCCCTGCAGGGCCCGGGTTCACAGGTGCCTCTCCCACCGTGGAGATCTGCCTGGAGTCTCAGCAGGACCCCTGGGGGTGGGCCTATGGAGCATTAACACACCCAGGGGCTGGTTTGTCCTTGTTGGACAGTGAAGTGAATCCGGCAGGGACCACCGTCTCCCCTACCCCACCCCTTTGTCTACCCTTTCCCATTCAGCAGCTGTCCCCCTCCTCACACATACACACAAGTTTCTGTCCTTTGTTTTCCTCCCTGGCCAAATCCCCAAGGCTTCTTTGGTCATTAACCTCCTGCTTTAATTAGCTTAGTGGGGAGGAAAGTGGAAGCAGGGCCAACTCAATGGTGGGTGTCTACGGCGCAATCTCAATTGGGGGGCGGGGGGCAGGAACGCTCAGACCAGCTGGTGACAAAAATGTCTGGCATACAATACGTCCCACGCAACTGTTTGCTATTCTATTAACGTGAAAAACTGTCACCTGGTCCGCAGAGTGGGAACCTTCTACCCAACGAAAGCCCCGGGTCCCCAGTGCCACGGCTCCCCTAATCCAGGCTCTTGGGGGCAGAGAGGGGGACAAGAGTAGAGAACAGGCAACTTCCACGGGGCCTTACCTCTGCATTTCTTCCTCTCCCACTCTTGCTCTCCCAAGCGGCACCCAACTCCACAGTAAGGTTTGCTGTTAATCTCCTGTTAAGTCCCTGATCCAGGGGGCACCCCTCCCCAACTCCAGGGTTTCCCAGGGGTTCCTCCGTCATGGCTCCTCTGCCGGAATCTTCTGCTTAGCAGAGGAGCAAGGGCCCCGCACAGCGTCAGTCCCTAACCTCTCCAGAGTCCCCACCCTCCACTGGTGTGCATTTTAGGGAACTGGGTTTGGCTCAGCCCTCCCTCAGGGCCTCACAGTGCCAGGGCTAAGAAGATCTCATCTGTCCTCCAGCAGGACTTTACCTCACAAACTAGTTCAGACTTCTGGTTTCCAAGGTGCCCCAGAAAAGGACACCTACTCTTGTAGCTCACCCACCCATTCTTATAAAACTATTTTGGGAAGTTCTACTTAAAGTCTGACCTCACGCCCTCGTGCTGCAGTGCCATCCTTTCTCCTCTTTAGAAAGACCAGGCATAAGAGCGCAAAAGAGATGCTGCAGGTGTAGGGTAAGGGGAGAAGCAAAGAGTGCATTATCCTTCCACTCCCCAAAACTCTCTCTAAAAGTCCCCGAGTGCCCAATTCATGCCTTAAAAACTTATTTTCACTTTCACCAAATTCCCAGCGTCAAAGGAACGAAATGAGTTTTCAATGCGGAAGAGCCGGGTGGAATGATGGTGGAGGATAAGCAACAGATCCCTCCAAGCTCATGCACGGCCCAGGCCTGAAGGAAGTCTGGGTCACAGTCCATCGCCTCTCTCCCTCCTTCGGTGGCACCCAGAGCTCATGACTCTCACCCGAAAACTGTCCAGTCACCTCCTGCCTTTAAGACGGACTCTGCCTCCCCGCTCTCTGCCCCCACCCCCACCCCACCCCCCACATCTCTCCTCTCCCTCCACCCCCTCACCCTCCTCACCCCCTAACCCCAAAGCCCTCCAGGCTCCCCTCCAATGATCCGAAGGCCATGAACTAACTCACCTCCCAGTCGGTGCCTCTCAGATCTCCGAGACTGGGGGGCGGTTGGGTATGAGGGGGGAGGGCTTGCCGCTTGGGTAGGAGGGCACCCCGTCTTTTGCCTGGGGGTCCCACACTCCAGCCCGGCACCCCATTCCGGCCCCCGCGGCGCGCTGAGCCGGGCTCTCCCCGCATCGCAGCTGCGGGCTTTGTCTGCTCTGCGGAGAACCTCCCCGCGGCCCAGAGCTGGATGCACAGGAGGAGCGGGCGGGGGAGCGGAGCGGGAGCGGCAGGGAGGGGGCGAGGGGAGAGGAGAGCCGCAGTGACCTAGCCGGACCGCTCCCCGCCCTCTCGTCCCCCCCCCTTCATTACCATGAGAAAGAGGGACCCGAGACCTGCCGGGACCGCGTGGGAGCCAGGCTTGGGAGGGGGGCGCGCTCCCTGAGTCTTTTTCCAACCCTTCCGTTTCTGTACCCCGACTCCTCTCCCCTCGCCCGCGAAAAAATTAGGGACCTCGACTTTCACCCCACCCCCAGCTTCGCCTCCGCGCCGCGGGTAAAGACCTACGGCGCACCCCGCACCTCCTCGGGTCAAGGAATGCGTCCCCGCGCCCCCCAGGGTGGGAAACTACAACTCCCGGCATGCCCCCGGCGCCCCCGGCGCGCCCCCCTCCCGTCAGTTCCATGCTGCTCCATCCAGTTCATTTAAAACAAAAGAGTTTGAGCGCTGGATGGGGCTGGTCTCTATTGGGGGCCACTGAGTGCTACTCCTAGACTGGGGCTTGGTGCGGGCGCCTGAGGGGGGCGTCTGGACGGCGGGGTCTAGAGACTCCGGGTCCGAGGAGGGAGGGGGGGGCCGAGATCCCGCAGCCCCCGGTCCCCCGTCACCCCCGGAGAGGAGAAGAGATCTGCTTTCTTGGTTTTGTTTCTCTTTCCCCCCACCCCCACCCCGGGGGCTGGGGCGAGGGGAGTCGGGTTACAGGGTGTTTGGGGAGGGGGGCTTAGGGGGAGGGTCTATCTTTCTATCTCGCCGTCTTTCCCCCTCCCCAGTTCTTTGTTCCCCCCTCCCCACGCACCCCCTCCTCTCCTCTCCCCTCCCCTCCTCTCTCCTCTTTTCCCTTCCACCACCTCTCTCTCCCTCGCTCTCTCTCCCCCAGCTTTTGTTTCGCCATGCCTAGTCTAGTGGTATCTGGAATAATGGAAAGAAATGGGGGCTTTGGAGAACTAGGATGTTTCGGGGGAAGCGCTAAGGACCGAGGGCTGCTGGAAGACGAGCGCGCCCTTCAGCTGGCTCTCGATCAACTCTGCCTCCTGGGTTTGGGGGAGCCCCCCGCCCCCACGGCGGGCGAGGACGGGGGAGGTGGGGGGGGCGGCGCCCCTGCACAGCCGGCCGCTCCCCCGCAGCCGGCCCCGCCGCCGCCGCCCGCGGCGCCCCCGGCCGCCCCGACGGCGGCCCCCGCAGCGCAGACGCCTCAGCCCCCCACCGCCCCCAAAGGGGCCAGCGACGCCAAGCTCTGCGCTCTCTACAAAGAGGCCGAGCTGCGCCTGAAGGGCAGCAGCAACACCACCGAGTGTGTACCCGTGCCCACCTCCGAGCACGTGGCCGAGATCGTGGGCAGGCAAGGTAAGAGGGCGCCCCGATCGCGGAGCTGGAGGGGGGGGGCACCCCATCCCTAGCGCGAAAAGTTCATTTCCTCTCTCGTCCACCTCCGGCTCTGTCCCTTCTCCACAAAGGGGGGCCCTCCTCAAACCCTGATTTCCTAGTGCCACAAAGTTCCCTGGTACCCCCAGTCGGACTGTTCTCCAGACCCTTCCTCTCCCAGGGCCCGGCCCTTAGACAAAGAAATATCCTCTCTTAAGAGAGAGGGAAAAGGGAGGGGATTGGTTTCCCAACCTAGAGAGGCTGTCTGTCCGGAGGGGCTGTCCACTCAAAGCCAGAAAAACTGGCAGAATGTGCAAAGAGTTACTCAGAAGCCCCTGCTCTGGTATCTGCTAGTGGACTGGGGAGGGGGTACCCCTGGGACCCCCAGCTGCCTGGAGTTACACACTTTGGGGGAGACCTGGCCTGGGGAGCCAGTCTGAGTATCTGTCTCTTTGTTGGGCTAAGTGTAGGAATGGAAGGGGGTGTGGCTCCTGGGAGGGTCCCAGCCTGGGGGGAGAGATGGGAAGGGGGGCTCCTGGGAGGAGGGGAGCCTGTGGTCACCCACACACCAAAGTTGAACGGACTGTGGGGTTTGGGAAGGGGCGCCTCCAAGGAAGTGCCACATCCTGGTGTGGCCCTCTCCTCCTCCCTCTCAGGCTTTTGTTCTGGGCTAGCCTAGGCCAGGGGCCAGAGGCCTGGACAGGGGTCTCTGGTGGTGCCAGAGTAGGACAGGGCGGTAGGGGACATACGTGGGGGGAGGGGTGCGAAAGCTTCACCTGGGGATTCGGTGCAGGGCGTGTGTCTGGGTGCGCTGGGGGAGGGATGTAGAATTAATACAGTGTAGTCAGTCTGATACCACACCCTCCTCCACTCCACATCCCTGGACGGGTGGGGGTCGGAGTGTTGGTGGCTGTCCAGATTGAGCAGACGGAATCTTGGGGACCCTTCCCTCTCCTAGTTTCCCAAAGGGGAGTTGTTGGGGGGGTCGGATTTGGAAATTGCAAGGCTGGGCTGGTGAGGTGGGGGTGGGGAAGGAGCAGGGGAGGAGCTGTCCCACAGTAGGGAACAATAGAGGAGCTGCATTCCGGCTGGGGAGTGAGGGAGGAGGCCGGCTGCTGGCAGGGGAAGAGGGGAGGCGAAGCCAGGGGGCCCTGCTCCTCATCCCACCTCATCCCCCTGTAGTGCTGGGGGTTGGTGGGATTTTGCTCGGAGATCCAGAATGGAGGAGGGGAAGATGCCACTGGCCTACACAACCCTCATTTTCACCCACCCCACTCCATCTCTTGAGATTTCTGGTTTGAAAAGTTGGATTTCCTCTTATCAGAAACTAGGGACCCACAGCCCTGGAACTGGGTGGGGACACTAATATCTTTCTTGTGTGGGAGGGTGGTCTTGGGAGGCCCCAGAATTTCATGGAGTCATTTTTCCTCTTCTGCCTCCGCATCAGATGGAGCTGTCTCTCATAAAAGTAGGGGGGATTTCTCTCTTCCCCCTCATTCCTTAAGTATATGGGAGTCCTCCCTCTTGTCTAACCTCCCTTCTCCTGCTACAGGGTCAGTGCCCCTATATTTGACCTCTAGGAAGGTGAAGTCCAGGGGGTCTTCCCTTCAAGAGGTGTTCCTTTAGGCTTGCAAAAACCTAGGGTCAGTTCCACCACCAGTTCTGCACTCCGGCCGCTAGCTTTTGTACTGAAAGTACTCGTGCCCTGGCCTGTCCTCCTCACCCCACCCCAACCCCCAAAGGTATTTAGCTCACTTAAGTTTATGGACCCAAAAGTTAGAGCCCGAACCCAGGTGCCTAGCAGACACCGTGCGAGCAGACATTGTGTGAGAGGGAATGCCACTGTTCCTCCCTCTCCGTGCCTTACGAACAGTCGTTTACTGGCATTAAAGCAGCAAGGATGTGAGCTCGACAACAGGTAGGACTTCTCAATTTCCAAGAAGTCTGAGGACAAAAGGGAGGGCAGGTTCTCCCTTCTAAGGTCTCTTGAAGGTAAGGAGAGCTGCCCCAACCCGTTCTACCCTCCCATACACCACTCTGCTATGGTTGAAGGAACCATATGGTGTGGAGGAAGGAGACTAATAACAATAATAATAATAATAATAATAATAATAATAGGCTCTCCTCAGGCCTGTGGACGGAGAGTTGGGGCAGTAGTTCCAGAAAACTGGAACGACTAGTGTTGGTTTTGGGGATAGGCAGTGTGGTGGGGGAGTGAGAAAGAAATGTGAGTCTGTACCTGAAGAGGGGTGTGAATGTCTCTCTCTGTGAATGGGGTGAAAGTTGTGGGTGCATAGGAATGTGCTGTTCCTGTGCTGGGGGTGATAGGGATGGAGGAGTGGGATGGAGGGAAGTATGAGAGGTTATGAAAGTATTGTTTAGAGAAAGCACATAGTACCTCACGGCTCTCAGGTCCTTATGTGTGCAAACTCACACATGTGGCCTGTGTGCTTCAAGAAAGGATGTGAGTCTCTGTGAAGCTGGGTGCAGAGAGAGGGAACTCGGGAGCGGAGAGAGGCTTGGCCAGGCAGCCATGGAGGTCTGCAACCTTTAGAGATGATGCTGTCGTCCACCCTCGCTCACTCTTCTCTTTCCCCTTCTCCCTCTTTGTCTCTTTGTCTCCGATTTCTTCTTTCTTTTCCTGCCTCTCTCCCCAACTTCCCAGCTTTAACCCACTCCTACTTCGAAGTGGAAATAAGGGCCCAGAATACCTCCTCCCTCACTCTAGTCAGCCCCCAGCCCATCTCAGCTCTCCCGCGCTTAGGGGACAGGGTGGCAGGAGTGACTGTGGGGTTCAGTCCTGTCCCTTGCACATTTTCTTTATCTTCATATTCCTCTTGTCCCTCTTGAAACCGATTCTCAGGCCCTTCCCAGCCTCCCATACTCCACTAGTTGCTGCAAATCTGCTGCGAATTGGAGACACTGAGAGACACTAATGGGTAGATGCCATGGGGGAGGGGATCACAGAACAGATGGGGGTCGGTGGCCCCTGGGTAGGTTGGAGGACACTTTTAATGAATGGAGGCCCAGTGATGAGTGGATTGTGGGGTTACTGAGCGCATTTGGAGTTCTGTGGACAAATCAGAGTCCGTGGCAGATTGGGGGGAGGGGGGATAGGAAGGCAGTGTGATAGATTAAGTGATTTGGAAGTTTGTGAGCAGCCAGGAATCAGGAGAGAAGTTGAGAGAACAGCTCACGGTTGGGGAGGAATTAGTCTGTAGGTCTGAAGTGAGCCGCTCTCTGGGAGGGTTATTTCAGGGTTTCCAGGAGTAAATGAATTCGAAGGTCCTGAATGGAATTCAAGGGAAAGTTGTTACATTTTGAAAAATGTGGTTGATAGAGACCTTGGGTAGAGCTGAGATGAGTGGATTGTTCAAATCAGGGTGGTTTGGGGGGCGGGGTTCAAAGGGTAAGTTGAGAGGTTCCTGGGGGCGGGCCTCTGAGTAAGGGTCAGGACCTTATTGGTCCCAGCACAAATCTTGTACAGTGAGTTTCTTTCTCTCTCCGCATCCCTGTCTATCCCAGGCTGCAAGATTAAGGCTCTGAGGGCCAAGACCAACACCTACATCAAGACCCCAGTGCGGGGCGAGGAGCCAGTGTTCATGGTGACTGGGCGGCGGGAGGACGTGGCCACAGCCCGAAGGGAAATCATCTCAGCGGCTGAGCACTTCTCCATGATCCGAGCATCACGCAACAAGTCGGGTGCTGCCTTCGGCGTGGCACCTGCGCTGCCCGGCCAGGTGACCATTCGCGTGCGGGTGCCCTACCGCGTGGTGGGGCTGGTGGTGGGCCCCAAGGGGGCCACCATCAAGCGCATCCAGCAGCAGACCAACACGTACATTATCACTCCGAGCCGAGACCGTGACCCGGTGTTCGAGATTACGGGTGCCCCAGGCAACGTGGAGCGCGCGCGGGAGGAGATCGAGACGCACATCGCGGTGCGCACCGGCAAGATCCTCGAGTACAACAATGAAAATGACTTCCTGGCAGGGAGCCCCGACGCTGCGCTGGACAGCCGCTATTCCGAGGCCTGGCGAGTGCACCCGCCCGCCTGCAAGCCCCTCTCCACCTTCCGGCAGAACAGCCTGGGCTGCATCGGCGAGTGCGCCGTGGACTCGGGCTTTGAGACCCCACGCCTGGGTGAGCAGGGCGGGGACTTTGGCTACAGCGGGTACCTGTTTCCCGGCTACGGTGTGGGCAAGCAGGATGTGTACTATGGGGTGGCGGAGACCAGTCCCCCGCTCTGGGCAGGCCAGGAGAATGCCACGCCCTCCTCGGTGCTCTTCTCCTCTGCCTCCTCCTCCTCCTCCTCTTCTGCCAAGACGCGCGCTGGTCCCCCAGGAGTGCACCGCTCTCCTGCCACCTCGGAGCTGGCGGGACTCCCGAGACGCCCGCCTGGAGAGCCACTTCAGGGCTTCTCCAAACTTGGGGGGGGAGGCCTGCGGAGTCCCGGGGGCGGGCGGGATTGCATGGTGTGCTTTGAGAGCGAGGTGACTGCTGCCCTCGTGCCCTGTGGACACAACCTGTTCTGCATGGAGTGTGCAGTACGCATCTGTGAGAGGACGGACCCCGAGTGTCCCGTCTGCCACATCACAGCCACGCAAGCCATCAGAATATTCTCCTAAGCCCCCTCCCCTGCCCCCGCCTCCGGGGGCCACTTCCCAGGGGCCTGCCCCTGGAGCTGGTTTCCACCAGAGCCTTTTGGAAGTCAGCAATTCGAGGGGCCAGGTGATTAGAGATCCTGGCTGGGGAGCGGGGAGGGGAGGGGAGGTGGCTGGAGGGTGGGCCACTTTGAGACCCTCTGGTCACCCTATCCTTGCAAGGTTGGGAGGGGGCCAGGTTGGAAATTTTACTAGAGTTACAACTCTGATACCTCAACACACCCTTCAATCTGAAAGCAGCTAAGAGAAACTTTTGTTTTGCCAGCGGTGGCAGCTAAGGCATCCTGACCCCCTTTGTCCACCTCCCCTGAGTGTGTCATACTACCCCTTCCTCTATGGAGGGAGGGGAAGGGAGAGGGAGAATTACCATCTGTATATAGAGGTGCTCTCTCCCATCCCCAAGTCCTCTGGTCCTGACCTCTGACCTCCTGGCATGACCCTTTGGACCCTCCACTGCCATATCCTGTTTGGGAATCTGTTCCTAGGTTTCCGAGATGGGAGGGGGTTGGGGCCCTTTCAGAAGCCTGCGTAGACTGTAGGGGGTGGGGAAACATGCCAATCAATTAAGGGCTCAGACCTGTCTGTCTCCACAAAGTTGGGCTAGAAGAATCTGGATGAGGCTCCCGCTGCCCCCTCCAGCTTTTCCCTCCGCTCTCCTCCCATTCTTCCTCCCCCTGGGTTCTCCTTTCTCCTTTGCTCTCTCCCCAGCTCCTCTCTTTACTCCCACCCCGTCTTTCTGTTTCTTCCCTTCTCCCCCCTCCCGTCTGCCCCTTCTAGCGCAGCTTTGGGGATACCATCCGCTTGGGGGAAGGACATTTTGGTGCCCCCCCCCCTAATTTCTCTTTTGGCATCTAGAGGCCCTCTTTCCCCACTCCTCCAAAGACGCACCTCAAATTCGTGATGGAATGTATCCCCATTCTCAGTGAAAATTTGAGGAGGGGACTAATACTGGGGTACATAAAGGGCCAACCCTCCACCTTTACCCTCTTTGGGCATTACATTTAGGGGGCAGTTCTTGGACTGGATTTCATGGCAGTGGTAGGAGGAGAGCCAGGGAGTGGGTCTGTTGTTTCAAGGAGCAATACCCCACTCCCGGCGCCCCTCTCGACCTCACACCAACCCTTATCAGCGAGCAGATCATGAAGTGTCTGTCCTACCCACTGTGGTTGAGAAGGAGAGGTCAGGTCTTCAGAGAGGGGTCAGTTCCAGGGCTAAGCAGGATTGGGGTGCGGCTGTTCTGAATCATGTTACAGGCCTTACACCCCCTTCGCTGCTTCCCTACTGCTCCCTTGGGGCTGCCACCAGCCTCTCACCCTCCTAGTTCCGCTGGCGGGCCAGGAGAGGATGGGGGATTGGAGTCCCTGGGGGGGGGGGTCCCAGGAAATTCTTGTATATAGTGAGGTGGGACTATTGTAAGTGATCTCTGAGCACGTAAGCTCTGGAGTCCCATTCCTGGACGGAGAGAGGGTGCAGGAATGGGGGTACAGAGGGGATTTCCTCCCCTCCTTCCTCCTGTTGTGAATTAACTCTCCACAGCCTTCCCCTCCACCACCAGCCAGGGAGGGGAGAGGAAGGAGGTCACAGCCAGGAACACTGGCCTGTGACAACTTCCCTCCTTCCAGCCAATGTGAGCCATCCTGAGATGTCTGTACAATAGAAACCAAACCAAATGGGTTGCCCAGGGGAGGTGGGGGGCTGGGGCAGAGAAGGGATGTCTGTCTGTGGACTCCCCTCCCCCTCTCCACTCCTTACCCACAAAGGCAGAAGACTGTTACATTAGGGGGCTCGGAAGATTCAATCCCACCCTTACTAATTGAGCCAAACCTAGAAACAAACGCAGAACACACATAGTGAGAGACAAAATAGAGGTGAGAAAGAGAGCGTGAGAGGGAGCGAGATAGGCGACCAACAGAGAAAACAAAAATAGCAAAAAAAAAAAAAAGCAGTTCTTTATAATTTAATATTCTATTTTAATAAAGGCGTTTATTACCGTATAAATGTAGCAAAGAACCTGGGCTAATATGAAAAAAAAAAAAGACTTTTTATTAGGTAATTTATTATATGAAAAGGATATTTTATTTTATGATAAAGTGATCCTTAAAAAATAAAAAAAACTTTAGAAGGTTTAGAATATATGTAGGGAGAGAAGAAAAAAATACATTTGTATTCAGAGTTAAATCTTAAAAAAAGTGTTTTTAATATATGTTCAGGTTTACGTTCCTTTTTCCCCCACTTTTCTTTTGGGGAGGAATGTCACTTGCTTTGGGGGAGGAGGAGCATCCTGGGATGGATGGCGGCTAAGGGAACCTGGTCCCGCTGGGGCCCTGCAAGTGGATTGGATTTCATTCCATGGGCTCCCTTCTCCTCTCCCCCTCCCCCTCGGGGGAGCTGGCAGAGCCAAACAAAGAAAGGAATTAACAAGAAAGGAAGGAGCTGGAGGATTGAGGATCCTGGGTGCTCCCCTGCCCCTGCCCCTGTCTCAGGGGCAAGTGAGGAGGGGAAGTCCAGAATAGAGGCCTAGCAGGCCCCCGGGACCCTCAGAGAGGTGTGAGATTTAAGAGAAATAGTTTTTGTTTTTAACCAAAAATGAGAGAGAAGAAACTGAGGGGTTTAAAAGAAAATACTACAAAATAATAATTATTAATAATAATTCAAATTTATTTCATATAATCCTAGAGAAAAAGAGAATTACTAGTTACTTAGTAGACTATTCAGATAGCTTAAAAGTTTAGTAGCATTGCGGGCCCCTGGGTCCAGTAGAATGTATAAAAGTCGTAACAAAAGGAAAATAGAGGAGGGAAGTGGCTGAGTCACCCATCTTCAGATAACAGGGTGGAAGCAAATGGCTAGTGAAGGTTGGGAGCTTCTAGTCTGCTGGGGTTGATTCTGAGAATCCTTGGATTTTTAACTTTAGGACAAATGGATGAGGGGCTCAGTTCCCGGGGCCTTTAAACGGATGGACACTGATCATTTCAACCAGGTGGGGGCAGCAGAGGCGGGTGAGCCTGCACCCTTGCTCTGCATCCCAGCACTTGGGGGCCTACCATCCGGGCCCCTCCTTTGTCTCTGTTGGGTAGCTCTTACTCCAAAGTGATTATGTCCATTCCTGGGGCTCTCAGTGAGGTCCCTACGCCTGAGGAAGTCCTTGAAGTGTAACCGCCAGTGGTACAGACTGATTCAAGAGCCTGGTAGGTCATTGCACACACATGCGTACGCACACTTCCCAGCTGCGGGAGACAGGGTCCCTGCCCCATCCCTGCTCCTACCCAATCTTCCACTTGGCTTTTGGCAGCAGAGGAGTCGGTCTCACCCGTTCTCCTTAAAGCTGCACCGTGCTTTACAGGTTTGCAACATGCTTTACTGTCTCATAGAAGTTCATTTCCAAGGACTTTCCACCCACTGGGAAAAGGGGCTCCCAAGCGTACAGAGGCAGGGGGTGGGAAGCAGAGACCTTGGGTGACCCTAGCCCTCTGCTCCATCCACCTCCAGCTGTCAGAGTTCAGGTAGGGATCATCCGTCGTGCTCTGGCCATTGTGAGGGCACATTGCTCCCCACTGAAAATTGGGGAGCTTGGCTGTTGCAGGCGAGAAATCAATTTTTTAAGCACTTGCCTTCTACCCACCCCCGCTTGCAGTCAGGTCAGGCCCCTTCCTCCAGGCCCTCCAGGGGGGGTGGAGGTCCCTTGGCTCTTTTGGCAAGAAGAGCCTGCTCCATGACACCAATGACTCTGTCATGCCCCTCCTGGCCCTAAACCCCAAACACATCTCCCTCTTCCCAATTTATTCTTCGCGCCCCCACCTAGGGACAGATTACCCCCTGCTCTTTTTGTCCTAGAAACCCCCATAGTTTGGGAAGGTAGTGTCTGGGGTGGGGAAGGCTTCCCTTTCTCCACTCAAGGGTGCGGGTAGGGTAGGGTGGGTAGGTGGAGACAGCCCTGGGGCAGGGGGGATGGTCTCTCCACTGTAGAAAGTAGAGTAGGATTGTGGTCAGACTTAATTTGAGGCATCTAGTGAGGACACATACAAATCCACCAAGGAAAATAGTTCAAAAGCAAAATAAAAGGCGGGAAACGAAACGGACCCATGAATAATTGAGTCAAAGTGATGTTGCACAAAATGCAGAGAAACCAAGAAGAGGGAGGGTTAATGTATTAAATGTGCTATTAAGAAGTTAATTTTATTAAAAGTATTATTACTTAAGGCTCTGGCTTCTTTCTCTGCGTGTGGATCTGAACCACCTGGGGGTGGCTGGGGGGGGGGGGGTGCGAGGGACCACTGTGATTGTAGCTGGGAGTTCTCTCTAGTGTAATTCTGGGCGCCCCTCCCGGCTCACCTTTGGGAGGTGGGTGGCACCTGTCTGCTTTCCACAGCTCCCAACTCCAGTCTCCAAATGCTCAATCCCCTTTTCTACCCATTTTACCCCTTCTATTCCATGGGGGTGCCGTCAGACCTCCTTCCACTCTGCCCTGCAGAACAGGGGAAGACTAGAAACCGCCTTCCTGGGCTGATGAAGAAAGGGCAGAGAGTTGAGACACGCCCTCCCCACCAGATGCAATCTGTCCCTACACCCCAACCCTCCCAACCCTTCTTCTTTGGGGTCAGATAGAAAACCACCTTCCACCTCCCAGTCTTAAAGCCCTTTCCCCAGCACACAGAACAGCCTGGTCTCGACTCCCCCTCCTCTCTACCATCTCCCCTGCCTCCGTTCACCCCTGGCATTGGAGTGACCTCAGTTCTTGGCACCAGGGCCCTGGGCACCAGATGGTCCCCTCCGATGGTCTCCTTTGTCTTGCCTTCCAGATACCCCCTCTCCACCATGCTGTCCTCCCTCCCCCTCCTACTCTGGGGGTTAGCAGGGGGAAGGGCGGGCACCTCTCACCCCCTTGGCACTGTCCCCAGACCACAGGACTTCAGAGGCAGCTGGCCCTGGGGGGCAGCGGGGAGGATGGAGCGAGGGGAAGGGAAGGGGAACAGGGACTCAGAAGAGGAGCGAGTTGCAGGGGAGGCACAGACGGGAGGCAGCAGGATGGCCAGGCATGGATATAAAACAGCTTTATTGGAGAGCTCTAGTCTGTGAGGTTAGCA